AATGACATAATTTTGTTTTTGTGATGGCTGACTAGTATTCCATTATGTGTACATGCATTTCCCTCATTCAATCCTCTCTCATTTTTTTTTTCATGATAGGGTCTCATTATGTAGCTCTGGATGACCTGGAACTCACTCTGCAGACCAGACTGGCCTTGAACTCACAGAGATCTACCTGCTTCTGCCATCCAAGTGCTGGAATTAAAGGTGTGTGCCACTGTGTCCAGCTTTCAGGCATTTCTTGATGGATATCTAGCTTAATTCCATCACTTGGCTACTATGAAAAATTCAGAATATCTTTTTTTTATTTTATTTTTTTAAAAATTCAGAATATCTTTAAAGGAACTGCATGGACCAGCAAAACATGTGAAATCAGCACCTTGGGGTACCCAGGGAACTGTTACTCAGCAGAACTGCTCTTTCCTGTACCTTTCATGCTCTCTTCTGGGAGTCTTGCTCTCTATTATGCTTGACCATGATGCTTTCTATTAGATGGAGGACATGCAAGTGTACACTTTGCTTAAGACAGTATCACCACCCACAGTTTTCTATTTGGTCTGATTTCATGTCAATGTTTTCTCCAATATATCTAGTGCCCATCAGCTAGACTGTCCTGATTCCAACACACCCAGCTTGCATGTCTCTGCCTGTGGGCATGTGAGGCGGTTCTAGGCACCTCGGGGACATCTAGATGCTAGGAAAGTGGTACTTGGGATGAAGCTCATATTTGGGACACAAAAAAGCCATTCAATCAGAAGCAAAATTGTTTTACTCTTTCCACTCACTCACAGAAACCCATCTCCCGATGAAAGAAGAAGTATGTAAACAAATTAACCAATGCTTTGGAAGAAGCGGAGCATAAATGAAACAGCGATTGGATGCTGAGTCCTCGGTTTGATCAGGGCAATGGAAGCTATCCGGACTTAGAACATGCAGGGTCCTCGGCCTTGTCAGTGTTGGTACGGTTGGGTGGAGAGTCCCCACCTTGTTTCAGGTTACTGTGAAAGCCCATCAGAGGGTATGAAATGGGCTCAGAGAGGTTTTGGGAGTTAAGACCTGCTTGCAGGTTAGGCTGAAAAATCCAGGGGATTCCTGGTGATTGTCCTATTTTCATTATGACGGCTTGAACCTTGGAGGTGCCTGGAGACTCCAGGAGGGCAGCCTGCTATGGGGTCAGTTACATCGTTCCCAGCCCAACCACAGAGCCTGACTCCCAGGGTACTACCACCAACAGCAGCCCCAGTCAGGACACTGGCCAGACTCTGGTCACCATACCCTACACTGTTTCATCAACTCTTCTCTGTATTCTCCCACACCAAAGCAGATCAGCCAGCCCATATTTACTCGGTGCACACCACGCACCCAGCACTAAAATAAAATCTCCACTGAGGCGGATGAAATCTTAAATACACTTATATTTAGTAGTTCTCTCGTGGTGCAAACCAAGTGCCACTTTACGTGCACATGGATGGACTCTGTGTGTATGTGTGTGTCCAAGAGTAGCACATGGGTTTGTGTGTGTGTGTGAACGTTTGTACATGTGCATGTGGAGACCAGAGGACAACCTCAGGGTCTCATTCCTCAGGTGCTGACCGCCTGATTTTGTGAGGCAGGTTTTCTTACTGGCCTGAAACTCTCCAAGTAGGCTAGAGTGGCTAGGCCGTGAGCTCCATGACCTGCCTGTTTCTACTTCCCAGTGCTGGGATCACAAGTACATCCCACCGGGTTCAGCTGCCACCTCCACTTCTTGTGTGAGTGGGGATGGGGTGGGGGGTGGGTAGGGACCAAACTTGGGTCTTCATACGCTCTTTATTGACTGAGCCATCTTCTCACCTCTCAGACGGCTCAACTCTTAAATCCCTTGGCATTGCACTGTTCAGTTCGTCGAGTATTTGTTTCTCCCCATCCTTTCCTTAAACTGCAGCTGTCCTAACCCTCGATGGCTTCAGTGTCCACACAGATGGCCTTTAGAAGTTCGGTACTCGGTCACGTCTTCTTTCCGGAGAGACCCTCTTGTCCTTGGCTCCTGCTGCTCTTCAAGGTCATGGCTCAGCCCTGGTTGTAATCAACAACTGTACCCTCCTCAACCTCCATCTCAACCATCATGTTCTGCAGCTGTATCTCCCACCATCTTTCCAGCACATTCTTGTTAGTATTACTTCAGCCAAGATCCCTACCCATCCGTTAGAGTAGTTTTGCAGGATCCTTCCTTATTTAGCATGGACTCTGTAAACCGCCATTTTATTAGCTACCTTTCAAGTCTTCTCCATTCTCCTGAACTTTTTGATTCTTGTCATCCTCCAGTAGCAAAGCCCTACCCAGCAAGTCAAACTGTCCTGCCACCCCCTGCTGGCTCCTGTGGGCAAAGATCCACAGATATCTGATGATAGATTTGCTGCAAATATGATTAAAAAATAAATCTGTCACTGGGTAAAAGCCACCATTGTTGGAGAGTATTTGTCATAAAATTTTGAGGATACAATAATCTGGAATGGAAAATATAAATCTGACGTAAGCCCTGGATCACTCGGATAGCAGAATAAACAGATGTGGACATATGGACGAACACCGGAAGTTTAATCAGAGACAGGAAGTGGTTTTAAAGGCCCCAACTAATCAGTCTTGGCTGCTTTGGCTCTCATTGCTGCCAAGTAACCCAGAACAAGCTTTCAGAACATGTGACTCTCAGCATGGGGTCTTAGGCCATTTCTTCCATAAGAAACTCACCACTGCCTGGAGGTGAGGTATGCAGAAAACAGTACACCTTTCTTCCTGTCATTTCTAGAATAACTGAAAGGAGGGAGGGTTGAAGGGAGTTTAACTTGTCTATCTCACTGTCCCTCCAACCCGCTACAGATTCAGTCACACGCCAAACTTTGAGATCAGCACATCCTGTGTTAAGTCTGAAATGTTCTGCATTTTTATACTCACGCAGGAGAGTTTTGTACAGTTATCATGGCATTGACCCTCTGGTCCAGGGAGTGTGGACAGCTCACTCTCGTGCCAAGGCCTGTGGTCAACTCAACTCAGTAGGGGAGCAGGTACTTGATTTACCAACCTGGAGTGGAGGCGCAGCTCCTGGAAGAACACTGCATGTGTGTGTGTGTGTGTGTGTGTGTGTGTGTGTGTGTGTGTGTGTGTGTAAGCCTGTGTGGACACCAGAGGTGTCAGGTACCTTCTTCCACTTGACTTTTTGAGACAGAGTCTTTCACTGAGCCTGGTGCCCACCAAGTGGCTAGGCTGGCTGGCCAATGAGTTCCAGGGATCCACTTGTCTCCACTCCCTCAGCACTGAGGCTTCATGTACATGCCACCATGCCCAGCTTTTTTTTTTTTTTTTTTTGGTTGGTTTTTCAAGACAGGGTTTCTCTGTGTAGTTTTGCACCTTTCCTGGAACTCACTTTGCAGACCAGGCTGGCCTCGAACTCACAGAGATCCACCTGCCTCTGCCTCCCGAGTGCTGGGATTAAAGGCGTGTGACACCACCGCCCGACTCCATGCCCAGCTTTTATGAAAGTGCTAGATAGCCAACCTCAGGCCTTACACTTGCACAGCAAGCTCTTTCCCCACAGAGCCATCTCCTAGTCCCAAGAACATCTGTTTGCAAATGATGCCTTTCACCCACACCTGCATTCCCAACTAGGGACACACCAATTCTTCAAGGGTCCACCTTCCAGATGTCAATCACGTGCCACACAACATTCTGCTTAATGATGTACCACCTGTACAACAGAGGTTCTCAGATACCACCCTCTCACCTGGTGGCCTCAGAGTTGTTTTTGTAGGAATCCTTTATGATGCTACATGAGGCTGAGACCACTAACGACAACTCTTTTTTCAGAGCACATCTACACTGCAAAGCCGTATTGTTAGCTCAGCGTGGCTCTGCGCTAAGAGTCGGAGTCATGAAGACCGGCCCTCCCTCAAAATTCTCATAACTTCCCTCTTGTGTGTTCAAAATTATATTTAATTCTGTGTATGTGTGTTTATCTGTGTGTAGGTGCATGCACGTGACAGCAGGTACCCTCAGAGTCCTCCAGAAGTCTCAGACCAGCCCTCAACCCCCGTGCTAGTTATAAGCTATTGTGAGCCACCTGAGATGGATGCTGGGAATCAAACTCAGGTCCTCTAGAAAAGCGGCATGTGCTGAGGCCTCTCTCCAGTCTCGTTATTTTGTTTTGTTATTGTTGATTTAGGATAAATTTATTTGAATCTGACACGGAAGGAAAGAAGAGGTCAACTCAAGGTTAAAAATTCGGTTTGACTCTGTTCCTATGATGGCCAATGCCATAAAAGCATGTTAAAGTTAAAAAAGCAAGTTGAAGATATGTGTAGTGGTGCTCATTTGTAGTTCCAATGGTAGGGAGGTAGAGACAGGGGGATCCCTGAGGCTTGCTGGCCTAACAGCTTAGCCTACTTGATGAGTTCCAGGCCATCAAGAGACTTCAAAACAACAACAACAACAACAACAAAAACCTAGTTGAATAAAAGTGCACGCACACACACACACACACACACACACACACACACACACACACACGTGTAGGCACAATAAAATAATAATGATGATGATGATCTTCATGTGGGGAGAACTCTAGCCTGTGGAGCCCTTTTGAGAAAGAGTGAAAGCCCTACTTGGAGGGAGAAATCTGGATGCAGAAATGATACTGCAACCCCTAGACACGGAATGTGGCTTAGAGAGATGGGCACAGGCTAAGTTCACCTACTGACTGAGGTCACCGACCATCTTGGCTTGCCTGAGATGTATCCTGCTCAAAGCAGGAATAGCCTGGAGAGTTCATGATGGTTGCTCCCTCTATCATTCCCTGGAGGGGCCTCCCACCAGCCTTCCAGCAAGACACCGCTTGCAGGGCAGGGAGAAAACTCTTAGAAAGTCATGCTTAATAGCAATTACAGCTTTCTTTGCAGGTTAATCAGGGTGTATCCTGGCCTTGCTATATGATATATATATACACTTAGCTCCACAGCACAGTCTCTTACCTTCTCCTGGGCCGTAGGAGGAGCTGGCAGTCCAGGCCTTGGCTTCCACATAACCCACTTCCCGGCAGACAACGTGGGCAGCATGGATGGAGAAATCATCATCACACACAGTGCCCCACTGGCCTTCATAATAGACCTCCACACGGCCTTCATTATGCTTCCTCTTCTGGCCCGCCAGGCGTACCTGGATCTTGACTACATCAGAGGGCACCTGGTGCTGGTGGTACTCGGGAGCGGGCTGCTGGAAGTACTCAGGGTACTGGAGCTGGTAGGGCCAGCTCTCATACTGGGCCAGGCTCAGGGAGGGCAGGAAGACAAACACAGCCAAACAGCCATAGAAGCGTGAGCCAAGAGGCATCTCCATCCTTGTCCTGTGCTGAGGGGAGGTCAGGGGTGGCAGCAGGAACTTTCTGGAAAAAGAGAGAGAGAGAGTCATTAGTCTAGGATATAGGTTGTAGATACCTGTAAAGTGTTCTGTGACGTCACCTTTCTGGCTTAGCCAACCCATTTCTGCTCCCATTTCATGTTTTGACCATACTGGTGTGAGTTCCCGACGTCAACCACCCATCCTCCTCATCTCTCAAATGCTGTCATCAGTACTCTTAACCAAATTTAAAGAAGACCTTTTCTTTTCCCCCTTGCATTTACTAACTTTTCTGTATATGTGTGTGTGGGGGGCATGCATACCATTGTATGGGTCTGCAGGTCACAGGACACCTTGTGAGAGCTGACTCTCTTATTTCACCATGTGGGCCCTGGGGATTGAACTTAGGTCATCGGTCTTGGCAACAAGCTCCTTTACCTGCTGAGCCCTCTCGCTGGCCCTCTTTCTTTCTATCTTTCTCCTCCCGCAGTGGAGAAGTGGGCGGAGTTCAAGGGGACGGACGAAGGATGAAGGCAGCACCCCTGGTTGTCAATAGAGGATAGCCATTACCTCTCAGGGTTTGAAGAGTCTCCCTGAGACACCCGTGGCTTCTAGAACTGAGCACAGTTGAGTGGAAAAGGCTCTCTTTCCTTTTGGATGAGATGGTGGCATCTGGGTTCTTTACTGAAGGGTCTCAGAGTCACCTATAGCAACCAGCAGGGAGGAGGCACAGAATACACACAGGACTCCTCTCCCCCTGGCTTCTAATCTCTTCCTGGGACCTCTACTAGGAAAACCCAACTCAACACAACCAGACAACCAAGTTAGGAGAGCTGATGGAGAAGTCGGCACCGGCTGGCCTCCTGGGTACAAGGCTGGTAGAGAGTGAGGATAGTGGGCCCCTGGGCTGGGCTCCTGGGGCACAAAGCTGGTAGAGAGGGAGTATAGGGTCCCAAAGGCAAATGCAAGCATCTCAGAACACCTCCCTACTGTGTACACCTTCCTTCTCCTCACAGCCCAAGGCCCAGCTCAACCTAAGCCAGCCTCCCCCCAATCAATCCCTGCTGAGGCAGATTTAGGATCTTCTGGCAATTTCCCAGGGATTTTCAACAAGTCCACTTGGATGGCAAACTTTTAAGGGCAAAGCTTACATCTTGATCTTCTCTGGTCTCTCCATGATAGATTTCAAAGCTTCATAGACACATTTACTAAGTGGGAAGGTGATCTGGCTGCAGGGACTGAAACATGAGTGGGACATGGGGTCTGAGCGGTCCCCAGTGTATCAGGAAGTCTGACAGGATCCTCTGGGAGCCTGCACAGTTCTCCAGGGCCAGGTGGCCTTGTTCCCAATGGACATGTGTGGGAAGCCTTGCACCTCGCTGTCAGCGTCAGTATCTGAGGTGACCAAGGTGACCTCGGCCTTGGCAGGTATTCTGCAGTTATGAGACTTTGTGCTCTGTTGGCAGAGGGCTGCTGCCACTTCCTTTGAAAATGACCAGAGCGAGCTGGGCATAGTGGCACATCCTTTTAATCTCAGAACTTGGGAGGCAGAGGTCGTTGCGTCTCTGTGAGTTTGGGGCCAGCCTGGTCTATATAGTGAGTTCAAGTTCCAGAAGAGCCGGACTCTGTCTCAAAAAAAAAAAAAAAAAAAAGCCAAATAATAATAATAATAAAATAAGAAAAGAAAAACTAAAAGGATGGAATAAAGAAAGAGGATGAGGTCTGTAGGCAAGTGGAATGCACCCTCAGGGAAATTAGGAGGGCCCTGTAGTGATTTCTTTCCTATTTATAGGGGATGTAGGGTTTTGAGAGCAGACTGCTCCTAACTCACAGAGGAGGGGCTGAGCTCTTTGTGTGGAAATAGAGGAGGGTTGAGGAACCCAGCATCAAGGAGGGCATGTCTGCAGTGGGACGAGAACAAGCTAGAGCCAGATGAACTGAGGGTGAATCCTCATTCTGATATTTATCAGTTGTTCCACCTTGGACAAAACATTTAACTTCCCCGCACATCCACTTCCTCATCTACTAAATGTAGGTCATAATCATTTGCAGCCTACAGAACCGTTCTCAGCACTGAACGGCACCCCAGGAGCACTGCAGAAGGAGTATTTGCCAAATGAAAAGTTGTGTTCTTCAAGGTTGTGGGCATCACAGCCAGTGGGAATCTATGTGTAACTCCAAAGGGAAACCTCGTGTGTTATCCTCAGATAACTCAGAGACTGGGGGATCATGAGAAAAGGACCATGGGCGTGTCTCAAGGAGGAAGCAGGCTGAGATGTGAGAGCCCAAAAGGCAAAACCAGGAGTGGCAGCTGGAAACTGCAGGGGCCTACACATTTCATTTTAGCCATACACAAAGGGGCGGAGAGAGCATAGTCCTCAGTTCAGAGTACTTTTCTATCGAGGAAGGCCTGGCAGACTTACCCTGGGCTGGGGCCACCCAGAGTCACCTGTGCTCTGCCTTGAAGAGAGGCAATCTTTGTACGTTGGTGCTCTGTGTGTTCGCTAAGAGAAAACACCCTCTGTCAAGACCAGAGGCCCGGCAATTCTCATCCTCTGACACTCAAACAGGCCCAGAAAGTAATGGGGTCCCTGCAATGGGGTCCCCAGTCTGCACCTGGCTTATGCATTGACACCTGCAGCAGAGTGCCTCTAACCCTGCCCCCCAAAGACCACAAGGAGACCTGGCCAGGTCCTGTTAGGCAAAAATGAAGGTGCTCTTCAACTGCCTTAAAAATCACATGTTGCTTGGGCTTTACTCTGTTGACCATTAGGCTTTGTGACCGGAACCTCAACCCTGAGGGTTCCCATGAAGCAACATATCTGTTTCTGCTAGGCAGACTCATTTGTATTAGAAAAATCCTGCCACAAACAACTATTAAACAGTAGATAAACATACTGAAAACACGTATTATGCACCGTATCACATTTTGCTCAACAAAAGACCCTGCCTATGAAAATGACTTCATAAGTTTACAATGGAGACAAAAAATTTCCATCACCTGGTAGCACAGTAGCCATCCCAACATCACAGCACACTGCATCCCTGCATTTTTCATGCTTGCTGTGAGGACGGTGGGAATGAACCCACTGTATTGCCTTTTTCTAAACGTGCAGTAACGCTAAAGCATAGCACACCAATGTGATAATGACTTCGCCACTTTATGCCTTGGTTGTATCCTTTGCGTTTTTTGTTTTCTTTTGTTTGGTTCGAGACGTGGTCTGACTCTGTAGCCCAGGCTGAATCAAACTCATGGTGATCCTTCCGCCTCAGCTTCCAAGCACTGGGAGTACAGGTGCGAGCCACCACACCCACAGTCATGGCTTGTTCCATCACTCCTTTGCTATGAACAACACTGAATGTAAAATGCCATGCTGTGTCATGCCCACAACAGCCTCACACAGCTTGTTTACCAGTCTCTGGATTGCATCAAGAGGCCACATGGAGGGACTGATGTCCACCATCCAGGTTTGTGAGGGAACATTCTAGGATGTTTAAACAATGCCTGAGTGTCCTGTCCTGTCCATGTCCGGTACGCCCCCTCCCCAAACACACAGCTGTCATTAGGTGAAACCTGACAGCGGCAGGATACTGAGGCTGCATGGGCTCAAAGAGCCAAGGATCCAGAGAGAAAGGATGTACATTGAGATGCACTTACATAGGTCTCTGCTTTTCCCAAGACAGTGCCCAGTAGGTTGGGGAGCTCAGTAAAATTTTCAGTGGCCCTTCAAGGGCTGACGAGATAGAAATCAGGACTAATGATAGAGACAAATTAGGACACGGAGTGTAAATAGCATGTTCGGAAACCCAGGGAGAGGAGAGAAAGAACATACGGAGGAAGCATTTAAGAGCAATGGTGAAGAATTTTCCGACACTGATGAACAGTATCGAGACCAAGCAGTGTACTCAGAGAGGAAAGCACCTCTGGGCTACCACAGGGACTATGGAAAATCAGAGCCTGAGGAAATCTCACACATAGCCGGAAGGGAATGAGCATGCTACATCTGAAGACCATCAGGAAGCCTCTCTACAAAAATGAGGAAGCAAGAAGATAACATTTTCTAAGGACTGACTGAGTAAGCGGGGGAGGGAGTGGGATGAAGATGAGAACATGGAGACAAACAAATATGGAGGTACCAGAAGGAGATCTTTAAGTCAAAGGTGTGGAGGTTTAGGAAGGAATGAAAGACGGACTAGAAAACGACATGAGCACACCTGAATGCAAACCCACCGTGTAAAACAAAAACAATATCCTATGTCCTAAAATATCTGCACTGTGGACTGGTGAGGTAGCTCAGTGGTAGGGCACTTGCCTATCATGGGTGACCCTGGGTTTGGTACCCAGAGTTCCATCACGACCATAATAATAAACAGCAACATCTGTGTGTGTGTGTGTGTGTGTGTGTGTGTGTGTGTGTGTGTGTGTGTGTGTGTGTGATATTAACATGCAGGCAACAGCAGCACAAAAGGCTGGATTAAAGTGTAAAGTGTGTGGTCTGGGCAATGGCACAAGTCTATTTCCTTTTTTTGTTTGTTTGTTTGCTTGCTTGTTTTTCGGGACAGAGTTTTTCTGTGTAACCTGGATGTCCTGAAAATCGCTCTGTAGACCAGGCTGGCCTCAAACTAAAAGAGATCCGCCTGCCTCTGCCTCTCGAATGCTGGGATTAAAGGCATGCGCTACCACCTCCTGGCTACAAGTCTATTTCCTAACAGATTTAACAAGCTTTGACAGATGCATGCTCTAAAGTTTGTGTTAATCACCCTAAGAACAGCAAAACAAGAGAAATCAAACAGGTCACTACAGTGGGTAAATAAAGGAATTTAAAAAAAAAACCTTGACCTGTGAACTTGCTGTTGCTGGGATGAAATATCTGGGATAATCGACAAGGAAGGATTTATCTTGACTCACGGCTTCAGAAGTTTCAGTCCATGGTCACATGGTCACATTACTTTGGGAATGTGGAGGCTCCCATGTATAATAGAAGGAGCACATGGCAAAGGAATAAAGGGAGGGAGAAGAGGTTGGGGTTCCAATGTCTCTCTCAT